AGCCTAGAGAAAGCTATATCAGCTAATGAATCATAATCATTGGCCTCTTTTATTGGGTTTCCACTATAAAAATTTAGGGCCCCAAAAAAAATTAGCATTATACAGGCACCATTTTTCAAACAGGGGGGTCTAAATAAATTTGGAAAATTTAGCATTATAGAGGCACCATTTACTAATCAGGATCCAACATTAAAGCCTCTTTTGGTCATTGGCGAATATGTTTCCAGGTGCCTTGAGCAACTCCAAGTAAGCCATTTGGTGTTTTTGTGCCGCTTGGTTGGAAGACTTTGGGGAGAAGGTGAAGCTGAGAAACAACCATGGGTGAGTGTTGGGGTCAATAATGAGGGGCCAGGGGTCAATGGAGGGTTGAGGCCATTTATCGCAGGAGCTTGATATGATTTGGTAGTGTGTTTGTTTCATGATTGGCTGATGCAGGTGGGATTTCATCAAAGGTAAGAGAGGATCAACCAAGGCTGATGCAAACAGGACATGGTGGTGGAGTCGGCCTGGACTGTTTGCAAAACACTGGGAGTCCACAAGCACAACCAGTTCAGGTCGCTCTGGTCCAATTAGGGGTCCCCAAAACATGTTTTGCGTCCATCATGGTGTCAAATGCACATGCATGATCCAACAGCAGATGAACTTGTAAGAGTTGCTTTCCCTTCCGGGAGGGACCATCATCCCAGCTGCCCCTTCCAAAGACAGCGTCAGCTTCGCAGCGGTCGCGAAGCACCCAAGAATCACTTCCATCCCCTGAATCAAGTCCTGCCACTCTGCAGGCACGGGAGGACTTCCCCTTCAAGCTGGCAGGTCCTTTAGGTGGCTTCACGGCCACCATGGGCGCCGCACATGCTCAGCGTGCGAAGGCAGAGATCGCGCGCCAGGCGCCGTGGATGAAGGGAAACCTGGTTTTGATTGAAGGTGATGTGTCATTCTTCCATATTCTTCCCTATGTGGAAAACGCTGCGGTGAACCACCTTCGGCACAAGCAGATTGGAACAGATATGTGGAAGAACATCCCTAAGTTGGGGCATGCATGTTCATTGTTTTTTTTAGCGGCTTCCTGGAAGCCGGCTTCATCTTTTAAGGAAAGCAGTCGACGGGAGAGGTGATCAGACACTTGGAGAGCGGAGAAGCGCGCAGAGGGCGCTTTGCGCGGAGTGGGGCAGAGTGGAGAGCGGGCCAGAAACAGCTTTCCGGAGGAGAGTATCTACAAAGCATGGCTCCATATCTGATTTTGACGTAGTGGTTGAAACACACACACTCTGACATTGGTTTGCAGTTAACTCAGTTCCCACGTTGAGAA